ACTTGTATATACCATTGTAAATGTAAACCTCTTTGAACAACTACAATGGCTTGTCCTAATGAAGAAAAACAACGCGCCCCTAAAACCAGCGCTAACCCGACAAACCAGACATACCTGTACAACTTTAATCTCTGTCTATTGTTACGTCCGATGGCTCTTTACATAAATAAGAAACCATCCCACGTTCGAGGCATTCACTAGCTAGCTGTGCAAATATAATTAATCGGACCGCAATAATCCTAAGGAACTGTCATAAAACTAAGCACATGTATTTTACATAATTAAATGTTATAAAATACATTCAAGTCGAGACGTTCCTTATGGTTATTGCTCAGTCAAGTAAGAAATCAGGAAAGGTCGGCTTTTTCCCATGTTCAACGGTCATTTCCACCCGCAAGCGACCGATGGTGGGGCGACCGACCTCCAACAATAGTTTTTCTCTGCGACAGCGTCGTCACCGAACTTGACTAGTTTGTCAGCCTTAGAGTCAACATCTCTCGACTACTTTTTCATCCGTTGACCAGTCAATGTCTTGACTGGTTTTTCGTTCCTCGATCAGTCATCGGTATTAACTTACTATTTATAAGCCTCTGAGAATAGATCTGTACGCAAGTCGCCTAACTATTTATATGTACAAAGTTATTGGAATAAAGTATATATTATAACCTGTTACCTCAGTGTTACGATCAGTCAACCACCTCCATTATCCTAAACGAAATAGGAGATCGACCAATTCGTGGCGTGGATTGTCGAATAGTAACGAGAATTTACGACTCTCGTTGACGCGATCCACCGCAAACGCGTCTCTCCGCGAACGGTCCAACATCTACCCGTATCCCGTACGAATGCATATTTATAATTCTCTTTTTATATCATTGCCTTGTAAAAAACAAAGTATACTATAAATGATATCAAATCGATCAATCACGACATAGGGAACATTATTGTCTGATCGGGAAAAAATTCGTTGTCAAAAGTCAAACGCAACGTTCATGAAATCGACATCGTACGTCAAATGACACAAGCATTGTTTATCGCGAATCTCTGTGACACATTAAAATCATCGCTGACGACATTCACCGTTAACTAGACGACCTAAAGCAATCTCATCGCCATTCATCCGCGTTTAATTAATTATTGGCAACTCGTTCTGCTCGATCAAGACAACGTACTACATATTACGTTACTGCGCGGCTAACGTATATCGATAGAATATGGATAGTTTACATCATCGTGTATATTCACCTGATGTAACCGCGTTGTATTACCATTTAATTACGCTAATATAGACCAATAAAAGCATTTCATTTCTCGAAATATACAAGAGAAAATTTATACACATACAACATGTATGAATGTATAATATGTACGTACGTATGTATCGTTTTCCTCGGAAACTGATACCTATTTTAGTTAGTTGATCCAATTTCACTCAACTACTACGCTATTTCCACCACGTTGATCGAAACGGATAGCCAATTTACCAATTTCACGCCGTATCTTTATCTACAAAACATACGCTGAAATCCTTGTAAGAACGAAAAATTACCTTCGATGTTTAGAAGTTTCTTTCGCCAATAAAACGAAACACGATCGGTCCAAGCGTACGTCACCAGGGAAAATCCCGATTCCAGCGAATAAACGAAAACCAAAAGCGTAGCACAATGCACCGGAAGTGGGCAAGCGAATAGGTTAATGGTCGGCCAGGTCACTGACACTTTCCGCATAAAAGGTTCGACTCGAGGGCAAGTTGCATGCGTGCGTTTAACTGCGAGCGTAAAAAGTAACGGGCCCTGCTGAAAAGCAGTGGACGAAACGACCTGTGGCGAATCATACGTTCCCCTTACCTCGTTGTCCTTGTAGGGACCAGTTTCTCGTCCCGCAACCGCTCGCAGAGGAATCCCGACAGCTTTAACAAGCGTGAATGCTTGTTCTGTCCAGAATTCTAATACCATATTTCGCTCGTACCTTCTGTACGCGTACATTCTGTTCCTATTGCTTATTTCGTGACTCGTACGTCGATAACTTGGCCAGCTATAGAGAATGTCAAGATCAAATGGTCCTCGGTTCTATGCAGTTGAATGGCTACGACCGATCAGCTGATTGTCACGTGGATGTGTTTCTCCGATAGCGATCGATCTTTTCTTTCATTAGTACTTAGCCAGACAAATAACAACTCGAAATAACGTATTATTTCAACTAATTTCCCACATTTTCGTTTCTTGGTTTTCTTTTTTCTTTTTTTCCTTTTTTTTTTTTTTAAATAACACGGAACACAACCTATACAAGAGAAATTCGAAATCCTAGTTGAAACTCTGATCTATTTAGGTTAGAACTTCATTGAACATTACACTAGTCGTACGAGTAAATAATTTAATTTGCGATCAAGTACGACGATGTAAGATGATAATATACTTGCTTTAAATATTTGTAAATTAAAAATTTGAAGCAAGTAACGAAGGGACACGTTTACCGACTTTCTTGAAAAAGTAACCGAAGATATTATATTCCAATTCGTTGGATCAAAGGGTTAAGCTTGAACGTAAATTACTCAATTTGTATAATTCCAAAAAGTGAAAAATTGTGCATACCTATGGAGCATCGACATTCGATATTTCAGATTTCGTAAAATATTTGAATTTCAACATCATTTAGCGGCTAACACCATCTTGTCAGTAACGATCGAACCGTTTCTTATTTCAATTTTATTCCGTAGGAGCATCGTGGACCATCGTTACGCAGATCGAAGGTTATTATTGAAACACAGCGGACGATCCGCAGAAGACGCTATTCTGCTCCTTGTCGGCGATGTAACAAGTTTGAACTGGGTCGAGGTTCGTCGAAGCTTATTTTTCTAGAGGCCAGTTTGCATCCCTGCCGGAGTAGACCCGTGTCAAGGACGACGTGAAATTCGCGTTTCTACACTCGATACAAGCCTTTTCGTTTCTTTTTTTTTCGCATTGTGCTATCGTATTAAAAATACGTAATCTCGTCCGGGCAAAGGGAATACGAACCATGCTCGATCATTTCTTTTAGCTTTTATTTAGAATTCAAGACAGTTTAAACGGTGAAATCGAATTTTTCTTAAAGTGATCACAAAGAGATTGGAAGGGGCGGGGGGAGGAGTTAAAAGAATCGAATGAAATAGAATCTCCAATCTAATTCGACGTATGATCAGACATAGGGGTCAACGGCATTGAGAGTTGTCGCTCTAATTCAAAAAGTACTGTCACCGTCGTATCCAACACGCGACACACGCGTGACGACCTGGAATCTTCCACGTGGGATCGGTACGAGTCGCTGGTGTCGTTGGAACTATCGCGAAGTGGGCTAAAGGCGACCCACATGCGCGGGTCGTCGGCGAACGCGACACATTGAGGTCGCGGCCGATGAGAAACGACCGCTTCCGCTCGGCAAACGACTCGAGACGTGTTTGTCGTTTCAAAAGACTTACGCGACCAGTTTCTTATCATCGAGCCAGACTTCCTCGTGCGCGCGCTTCGCGAACTGATATCGGCGTTAAAGTCCGTTTCGTCGATCTTTCCTTGCGAATGCTTGTGTACGTTCAATACGCAAAATGTCACCTTTCTCATCCCACGCTTCCTTGCTTTAATTCATATAATTAAGGACGAAAGAAAAAAGATATCGATACTTCGTTGCCGTAAAAGTGAAAATTTGCATATTCGTGGTTTTCGCGTAAAAGGGGCGAAACGGTTACTTGTATCGTTTACATTGCTTCCAATTCCGATGAACGTACACGTTTATTCGTATTCCAAAACTAACATAAACCGAAATCGTGTAACGATCAACATCGGTCGGTCTTTAACTTTCCAATCGCACCGAGGCAGCTACGTTTTTCCGAAACAACAGTGACCACTTTTCATTCCGAACGTAGAAAGCTACGCGTTGGTCAGAGATTTCGCAACCACCGATCGCTGGTTTGCTCTCGTTAGGATTGCCTGACGTCACGGTGCTATTACCTGTCGGTTGTTCACACAGGTTCTGGACTTTCTGCAGTGGCAACGTAAACGACATAGCGAAGCATGATAATTTTAGACGAGACGCTCGTTTCCAATTTCTCCGATGGAAAATGCGTTCAAAGATCACTCGACCATTAGCTCGTCTTTGACGAGAGAAATGCTTTTTGTATATCTTAAGCAAAAATAGATAAATAATTCGAAAGAAAGCAAGGTGATGAGAAATTTCGGAAAAATAATATCGAAATTACCGGAATTTTATGCATTTTTTGCTAGATCTAATGAAAAAGAAACTTTTGCAAAGATGCCTATATAAAATACTCAAAATAGAGTGTATTCGTTATAATAATATTTGGTAGATGAAACAAATTTCTACGTAAATTCCCTTTCTTCAGGTATATCCATAAAAATGTAGGAATGCGTACAAATGCGCAGTCTAGTCATTAAATTGGAGATAAATGTCAATCGTGAACATATCCTGCGCCTGTTGACAAGAAACATGGTTGAAACCGCGCGCCAGAACATCTAAACAAACCTCTGCCGTCAATTTCAAGATCCCGGAATTGGCAGACAATTCGCGGTCTCGAGATATCGATTGCAACGCACGTTTCAAATAAAATAGATTCTATCCTTGAGCTTTTGTCCGCGCAAAATGTCATGGCCGGTGCTCGATCGATCGTATGCACATAATCGATGCATGCAAGCCCGTTTTTATCTTTGTTTTTACCTTGTAGCGATTTTTTCATCGTACCGTTGCAAGGAGAATGCCAAAGAATTTCCAATAATGTTTCGAGCAAAAGATACGCGAAACAACTTTCAACGTTACATAAACCGCTGCAGACAAACTATATACGTGTACGCTTGTTCGCGTAATCTACGTTTACGAATCGTAAGTGTTCGAACGAACGTCACAACCAGATGTATATGCTTTATTCTTAGTAAACTAAGAAACCATCTTTCGCTGTAAAGAAAACTTTCTTCGCAACTAGACACGGTTGTATCTTCTAAGATCTCGTAACTCACCATTTTGAGGGTTTCCTCCGGTCTGAGCAGATAAAACATAGATTGAAGGTGCTGTTGAATATCGCATCCTGCTGCGGAAACCTTTCTCGAAGGTCTGGCCCTTTCGTTCGGAGGTAAAACCAAGGCCGCGCCCTTGCCCGCGAAGTAACATTCGCTCAGGCTGCAACAGAAACAAGGAAAAGTCTATTAACATAGAGTGGAAAGTGTATGGGCGACGTCTGTGCGACGTAAATGTTTAAGATTTAAAGGACAACTCACGTATTCTAACGTGTTTCGATGCCAATTATTCAAGATATACCGCTTTAATTTGTCTTGGCACTGCAGTTAATTAAAAAGAATTACGCTACGAATTTACGCTCTTTTTACGCCTAAAAGCTTTCACCTTTCTTCTTTTACTTCTTTCTATAATCACAATATCGTTTAAAAGGAACAGAATTCCAATGTTTACTTTTTACGATACATATATATATTAGCTACGTATAAAATGATAAATAGAAAAACTAATTTTAACAGTAAAATGCGAGATTTATCGAGTCAGTGATAGCGTTTTTACTCGCTGATTTTTAACAATTACTTGCCGAAATAATGCTTGATAACGGGACCAGGTTGAAAAATATTTCTGGTAAAAAAAGCAGGGAAAGCGTTAAAGTTAACCGGTGCTCGAACGTCTGCCAAATCTGTCGCGGAGAGCTATACTCTCGTTGTAAGGAGCATCGTGCGCACGTCGGACGCACATGGTGTTTCACGCACCGAACTGTAATACGTAGTAGGTAGTAGATAGTAAGTAGTAAGTAGTAAGTAGTAAGTAGTAAATAGTAAGTAGGAAGTACACGTGTAAGCTTCCGCTAGCGCACGCGCGTTTACGCTCGTGCCATACAATGGGAAGAGTTTCTCTTTCACGAGGGGTAGCGATTACACGCGTGTAAGTAACCGTAGAAAAGAGAAACCTGAGAATCTATCTTCGGCAATGCGCTCTTCCACGATCTTCGTTATCGAGAGCTGTGACGATTACTTTCACACGATAAGGGACCAGCTGCCGTGACGGTAAGCAATTAGCGACGGCGGCCTTATTAGCAAAACTGGAGCGACTTGATTTCTCTGTAGTGATTTTCGCGCCCCTGATCCTCCCACTCCTGCCACCGCACCGCACCGCGAATTCCCACTTTTTCCCGCTTTCCCCCACTCCACACCACTTCTCGATTATTAACCCTCCACGAGATTTTCACGGAACTGAGATTTATCTCGGTGTGAACGTCGAGATCGTGCACCACGCCGGATTTCTAGGTGGAACGTGATAGATGAGAATTTCATGGAAACGACACAGAACGAAACGGACGACGACGAGAAACCATAATTTACTTCGCGAACGTTAGATTTTTTGAACAGTCATTAACGAACATGGTCTTTTTGGTTCAAGTGTGGGCAACGTTGGCAACGTTGGCAACGTTGGCAACGAGCCTGTCAGAGGAAGATTTATCGCGCGGAATGCGCAACTAATTTTGAAATCAATTATTTTTACGAATCATCCAACCTCGTCTCTCGAACGGACTGATCGATGCCCCGGGAGGAAAAAGTTACAAGTCGCTTTAACGTTTTAGACTTTCACGGTCATTTGCTTTTCTTATAATTTACATTTTCAGAAACATGAGAAGAAAATACCCGCAACGTAGTCGATTGTGAAAAGCAATAGCAGCGTTTTCTTAATAATCCGATATTATAGTCGATACAGATCAGCTACAAAGCGAACGCGAAGAAATGCATTTTCGTACCCGTTTACGCAAATGCTTGTTGGTAGCCCTGCCTTTTCTTTCGCAGGGGTGTCCTTTCCCGACTTCTCCGTATTGGTGCGCTCTCGAACAACTTTCACGAACGATAGTCAATAGCGCAATAGCCGCCTCGATGAACTATAGAAACATCACCACCGATCGAAATTCACCAGTTCCAAGGGGAACGAATATACCTCAACTTTTCGCAAACGACCAACTATACATCGAAAAATCTATTAAAAATGTTAACATTATCAAACGATTTCTATTCATAAATATAACAATAATTCCTTTTTAACAAATCGAAAGAAAAGGTAGACGATTAATTTGATAGTCGAACACGCCAACTGCGAAACGCTTTCTCAGTGTGAAAACGCGAACGGAATGGAACTCGGACGCGCGATTAGGGCGAAGAACGATGAGATACTAAAATCATCTCGAGATTCGAACTAGAAACTGCGACGCGTGGGCGCGTCTTCGCCAAGCAGACTTTTGCAGCTCGTATTATTAGCCTCCGAGGAGATTGCACGCCGCTTGTCGCGCGTTTTCGCGCTCGCAAAACCAAAGAATTCATGGAAAAGCAGAATGTTTTCTCGTTCCGAATTGTTCCTCGACCAATCTCATCTTCTATATAGGTTCTTTATAAAACGCTATCAAAACGAATGCATCTTATTCCTCTCTTATGATCCATAACACGTTCCTTGGAAACGTTTGTAAGAAGCATATAGCCAGGAGGCAATCGAATTGAAATTGACTAAAGAGAATGTTCGACTCGTAACAGACATCGCCTATCGAATCGAATTATTCGAAGCTCGTTAAAACAAGCATTCCAACAAAATTTACGCGTAAATTACGTGTATAACGTGTTCCTACGTTAGAAAAATCTACAAGTTCGTAACACATGTACAGTTTATTTCCGTTGCATAGTACGATATTTTTGCACCTTTGCTGACGCTCAAAATATCGAGTGAAACGATATGTGTATGTACATATATATATATACACAACTACCACCGTGACTGGATATCGCTGAAGCTCGATAACTTTGCGTGAACTCGCGACACCCTGTTGAAGTCTAACTATTAATGCGATTTGAAAGCTCTCTACTTTTGCGCAGAACTCGAGAAATATCGCAAAACATAGCACAACGAATTATATATCGAGCATTTCATGTTCGAAATTTACCAACATGGAAAAAATTATATCAAGCTCCGTTGAAGCATTGGTACGATATCTGCGTTAAAACTTTCTCTCCATTTGTCTGGCCTTTGTTTCATTTGCATGCAACATTGTTGGCAGAAATAAATGTTCCAGAGAAAGTACCACTTCGTGTATATATCAACGATATGTATTGATCCGTGAGGCGTTGAATTAAAAGTTTCAACAAGATTTCAAAACGGACAATACTTATTAATTGATACTTTTAACCGTTAAACGCGTTACAAGAGCATTCGACGATATAACACGAGTATAACGACGAAATAACACATTCTTCGACTTTATCCAGTCTATCCTACGCCTTAACAGATATGTAGATACAAATGGAGGCAACAGCGATGATGTCATTTGACACGAGTAGCACGACTTTAGGTCGAGCGAAACGTCTCGACAACGCGCCGGTGAATGTGCATCCGAGATCGCATCTGCAATTGTCATCGGTGTGCGACGGGGACCTTTCGAGCAAAATGCAATTCGCATAACCCCGTTAAAGTGTGTCACGTACCGGTACACGTCGCTCAAACATCGGCAAGCCTGATTTTACGCTTGGTTACCGCCATATGAGAGCCTTTCGATGACTCTCCGTTCTCAAAGATTCGTCCAATTGATCTTTTCCCGCGTGTTACATCGATTAAACGAATTACAATTTCCAGTCCCTGGATCTAGCTTCTTTTCCATTGGATCGAACAACAAGTTCATTCACGCCGATATTTCTACATCGTTTCGTCGTTTCTTCTCTTATCGCTACTCCAAAGTATTCTTATTGTTACTGATTGTCAATCAAATATCGTTCACCACGATATACGAGCGTCTGCTCGTTAACGTGACAAACTATATCGTTTGTCACCTGTTAAAGCGCAAACAACACTTTAATCGCAAAAGACTTTCAAACGCAAGCACGACACATTTCCTTTGATCGTTATAGGTATTATTATTTTGTTGTTTTCCTCTCTATGCGAGAGAAAACGAGTAAAATCATTTGTAAGAAGAGGATCGACCACGGAAACAGTTCTGTTTTCTTATCAATATACACGGCTTTTGACGGGCCACATCCACCGTGACGTGTGTGTAATCGACGCGAACTTCCGGTAAATCGGTTAACGTGCAGACCGGAAACGATAGGCCGCACCGTCGCGTCGCTATTAGAACAAGGTCATTAATGACGTTCGTCATACGTTTTTAAAACACTTGCTAACAAAGAATAGAATTTCCAGGATGAAATATCTTAATGTAAAATTTATACAGCTCGACAGGTATACCCAAGTAGAATCTATTTCTGACAGAAATACGTACATAGATGTAGCATCGTGGAAGAAAGGCCTGTGGTGGCACTCGATAGCAAATACCACCACTCGACACTAACCAGTGTCGAACGACGGCAGCGCAGTGGTTAACGCCTTAGGTTGCGAACGTGTTCGGAACCCGGGTTTGAATCCCGGCGGCCGGAGTCCGATTTTTCTTCCACGATACAAAAAATGAGAAGAAAAGCGGCCGTACCCAGCAGCAACATCTTCTACAGCGCTAAGCGCAGCTTACGATACTACATAGACGCTCTACCGCGTTACAAAATGCCAGATCCACAAATAAAGAAAATTGCACCATCCAAGAAATAGGAAATAGGAGATCTGAACCAAGACTCATTCGTCCCGATTAACTGGTTAAATCGCTTATTTCTTCCTCTCCTTTTACTTAGTCCACTTTGAACATCAAAAGAGACTAAAGAAATCTTTTCAAAACCGGTCTTGCAACAAAGTTCAATGGTTCGAGCACCTTGGATTCGCTGCATTCAACGACGCAATTATAACGAGAAAGATACAAATCGACAACGTAATTCCGTTGAATTGCACGCAGTTTCCCGATGAACCTGACCATACTTTCCGGCCATTGAAGTTAATCAGTTCCAGTGACTCGATACGCATGCAGATGCAATTGCGTTCACGCGACTTGCTGCCCGGTAGAGATTAGAAAAATTGCCGCGGAAACACCATGTATGCTAGCACAGATTACAGAATATGGAAAGTTGCCTCGATAGTTCCGACGAAAATTAGTTATCTATCCCTGTCTTCCACGATTCCTTATTAAATAAAGAAAATTCCTTCTTCCTTACGCGGCTCGGAAGAATTTCCTATTAAATATATTGTTGCGATCATTGTATTTCTCCGAGTCAAGGCAAGCCGAGTAACTTATTTATAGATACTTATATACCGAAATTAAGAAACAAATTTTAACAAAAAGCAAAGTCGATCGATTTGTCTTCAAAGAGACTCACGGTTTAAAATTATGAACTCTGGTCGGGATCGAACAACGATCTCTGCTGCAAGTTCGAATCGGTCCGCGCGAACATCGGTGCACTTCCACGCGCATCAAGAGTCGATCGAACGATCGCTTTCACCGCGGCCGTGATCCCCGGTGACGCAACTCGACGCGATGAACGGAAAAAGCGACGTTTAACATGGAGAAAATTGCGTCCCGCGTCGAGAAGAAAGAATACGTCCAACGAACCACTGGAACTCGGCCAACTAGAGCGGAAACGATGAACACGACGACCACCGGCGAACGGACGATCGCGGCAACCTTTCAAAGCCTTTCGATTCTCCGCATCGAAATGGAGAAAAGAGCGCAGCTACCGGGAGGAAGGGGGATTGAAGGGGGACGATGCGCCAGATAATAAGGGATAATACAAACATTGGCCTGGCTGGCGATCCTGGGCCCCAGTTTCTTCCTGAGAACACGTGTTCCTCTCGTTCGATCCAACTTTAATCTCGCGCGAAACAGCTGAACAACGAACCGATTCCTTCTTTCAATCGTATAGTTGCTGCGAGAGATACAGCGGAATTGTCAAAAATCGATCATCATCGATGAACTGAAATTCATAAGTTCCGAGAATTGAAACAAATAATTTGACATACGTACGAGTAATTGAAAAAGAATTCAGATCTCGTTGAGGACTGCGCGGTAACAATTCACAATTGTTTCTTTCTTCGTAGAATATTTTCAGAAAATGCGTATATTATACAACACTCTAGAGACGCGCAATTTGCTGTCGTTTACGTAATGCACAGATGTCATAAAGAAATCTGACATAATTATTAAGTAATAAAAAACAACAATCTAAACACGGTTACATTCGTCAGTGTGATTGAGATTAAATCATATTAAATTAACGTTTACTATACTCGTTACTATACGATCTCGCTAATATGTCTGTTTCATCGACTATATTCTATCTTCTCTTCGGGCAACGATCAGAAACAGCACGACAGACAGATGCCTCGGCATCTCTCTACCTGTTCCGATGATCTCAAGTTTAAATCGCGAACCGAAAGGAGAGGACTTTGGAAAAGGTAAAAGAACCGAGTCGGCAGGACCTGAGCAAAAGGCTAAAGCGGCGTTGACTAAGCTTTCATTTGGAAACCTTGGAATATTGTTACTAGATTGTTCGTGTTTGTTATTGCATGTATCATTAGTGCACGTAATGGATATAATAATGGATAATAATGTGTAGAGAAGTTAGGAAATGAGCAAATAACGAACTGCGCTATTGTTCTTTCCTTATAGAAAACGATAATTGTGTTAACATAGCTTATTTGCATCCTTCGAAACGAATTATGTTTCCAAACGGATAATTATGAAATATATTTGCGATTAATAATCTCGACTTGCAATATAGACGAATGTGACACAACTAATATCGATAGACGCGGTAAATGTCAATGAAAATATTTTTTCTCGATTATCATACGTAACGCGGGTTTGTTTGCATATTCAAACCGTTTCACAAAGGGAGGTATATTAATGGCATTCAAAATAAGTTCCAGTCCGGTGACATATCGACCCAGTCTGGCGCCAGCTTGTCTAACGCGAAACCAGGAAGCAATGCCATCGATGTTACAACACGTCTTACATGATATTATCCACTTTCTTTCCTTAATTACCCCCTATTTATAAACGTTATACTGTCTGTCTGTCATAATATATACCCTGTGCCGGCCAACTAAGAAAATGGTTATCGAAATTTGAATAACGATTATTATCACATCGACTGCGAAGCTTCGTGTTGTGTTCCCCGTCTCTAAGCAACACCGCATTGCTGTACGATTCGCCAGAAACGATGATCGACTGCGCGTCGAGACGATGTCGAAATTAGTGAAACTTACAAACGAATACACCTAGGATTAACTTTCGAACGCAACAAATAAACACCAGTAAGTATGACAACATTATTGCGCAAGTATCGTATTTCGATCGATGAACCAACTCTCCGCTCTCATTCGCGAATTTCAAATACATAACTGCCGCAAAATTGCTTGCGCAATTTTTACGATCGATAGCATTTTCATTTTCAAGATCCAATTTATATATCTACAATTCCAAGCTCGATACGACATGGGCGTGTTTGTAGCTTTTTTAACTTGTCAACTTTGATAATTGAAATTTAATCTCATTCCATTAACATTTATTATAGATGAATAACTTGCGTATTTTAATATTTATAAATATACGAACCTATCTATACACGATGTGAAATTTCAACAAATTATTATTGCCAAAAGATCAATTATATGGCCTTGAAAGCAAAACGCGTCGGCGACGAATCGATCAAAGATTTAAACCAACTACCGTGAGAAGTTCAAAAGTTGTACAAAAGCTAGGCAGCTTCTCGACAACTCTTCTCTGAAAAATAATTGCTTTCGAGGGTCCCCTTTCATCCGCGATGATACAAAGCGTGCAGCTGTTGCTTCCAGTCAGCTGACACGAAATGTAACCACCTTACTGGTAAACAGGGATATTGGTACTATCAAATACCATCTACGCATTAAGTAATTTTTACATTTACCTTCACATGATATAAGAAAATTAGTTACGGAAAATTGACAGACAGACAGATAGAGGGAGAGGGAGAGGGGGAGAGAGAGAGAGAGAGATTATTATCGTACATACATTCATGCAGATTATATACATTCTATAAGATACAAATACTCATAATATATAAATACTAAACTTATTTAAATTAAGAAAATCTGCAACGGAAGATATGTAAAAGCACTGAAGAGCAATATTCGAACAAAGAATTACCTTTTGCTCTAAAATCGACTAAATGCTAATTCTGTATTAAGGTGATTTTGGGAAATAAAATTACTATATACGCGGCGTATATTACTAACATATTTCACCGGAACACAGCTCAAAAATAGATTTTATGCGCACGTGAGTCAAATTGAGAATCGTGGCAGAATGAGACTCACAGAATTACTCGAGCCAGCCTCTCCGATTTGCATGCTATTTCCGAAAATAAGATGTCCAATAAGAGGAAAATGAACGACATGTGGATTTCGACCCCTGAGCACTTCGCCTTTACGAACACAGTACGATCATTTCTGCTAACGCTAGAATCCCGGATGCGCTCGTTTTCATTTTGATAAACACTATTTCTAACCACTTAAAACTACTAGGTTTTTGTAGCTTAATATCAGTTCGCTATATGTTGGATTTTAAAGAAAATATGTTAATTTTACAATCTTCGACAATTATGTATAGAATTATTGGTTAATCTTTATATTTAGCAAATAGAATAGAAAGATGATTAAATACGATTCGACGAAACAGTAACGCATAACAAGTGAAAATAAAACTTGAAAGTAAGAACATATAGGCATCTTTTTACATGAATTAGATAGTAATAAACGTGTACACATATATGCACGAAATGACTAAACGGTAAATACACTAGTAGAGTGAAATTTTTGGGATTCCAGCGTTAAATCGTTTCGATCGTTCCTAGCTTCGAAAACTAACTTTACGTAATATCCGCAAGGTCTTTGCGCAATTTCAAATATTAGCGATCCTTTCCACAGAAATTCACAGAAATCCACAGAACGTAAGACAGATAGAATTTACTGAATTTATAACGAATTCTATTAAAAGAGAGAGAGAGAGACAGACAGACAGAGAAAGGAAGAGTCGAGTCTGTACGTAGGTACATTACACATACAAAGTCCTAGGCAATATTTTGATTTGAGAAACAAACAAAACGAAATTTATTGGATTTCAGTTATCTCACCGTTCACGTCGACTATCCTAACACAAAGTTCATTCACGGTAAAAATTCACTATAAACATGCATTTATAAGGAAAGACTGAAACGCACAAGTGCCGTGAATCGATTATACATGGAAGAAAATGTTTATTCAAAAGCTACTGATCAACATTTACTTCCTAGTAAAGCGTACATTTCTTTTATCGTGGTTTGTAAGTGAGCTGATTGTGAGATCTACTCTGTATACCTGAAAGCTCGGATACATTATCTCCATATTTTCGTTTTCTATAATTAAGCATTAGTATCAAGGTCAAACGAGAGGATAAGACCGAAATATTTTAAACAGGTAAATACGAATTAATAATAATTGCTATTATAAACCTTTTGGGATAATTTCAAACGCCTATTTCGTATTTTTTTCAATCAAAAAATCCAAGCGAATTTTTCTTGTCGAATAAATAATCCGAAAACATTCGGGGGTTAGTGTGAGTTTCGATAAACCGATAACTAAATAGAAGAACGCGGCGTTCGAAAACGGCGAAACTGGCTCAGACGTGATCGATACTCGCTGAAATATCGATCTTTCCTCGAACAGTCATCTCTACCACGAACAATACACAGTCAATGTCTGGTTTATGGACACATTATTCTATTCACATCGCTGCAGGACGCATAACGCATTGTGAGAATGCACGCGTTTACAAAGAAACCACTTTTCCTTTCCCATGATTCCCAGTGGACGAAGGAAGACGGGAAAAAGAAACAAAAATAGAAAAGCATCGCAACAACTGTACCTGATATACTGGATATATCCATGTCTGGCGTCTTCGAGGAGGAACCCCGGGTTCCGCATCTCGACGCTCTCGAAGACCATCGAGTCAACACATGCCACGAGCCAGCGATCATAAACCTCTTTCCACGAGTCACGAGATTCGATCATTCGACGAATCTAGACACTGCACACCGATTCACTTCATGGCTCACGGATCCGTTCACAAACGATGCTTCGAGGAGAAGCATCTTACACTATTATCGAAAATCTCGACCATCGCGTGCGAGAAAACTGATCACCAAAAATCCTTCGTTCCGAGTCCATCGGTCGGTAAAGAAGGGACTCGAACGGAGACACTTGGAAATTCGGTGGCGCGAACTACGCGTTAGTCAGAATCCGATAAGGGCACGCGATAAAATGAGATACAACAACGTGTTCAAGCAACTGAGAAGGAACAAAACGGAATAGACGTTCACGATTCAACGTACGCGAGGCAACTGAAGTGCGGAGCGAATCGTGGAACAGTGGGAGTCCGGTTATACCTCTCGTCCCCTCGCCCCTCCATCTCACCGCTATTCGCACCGCAACCGACCCTAACCTAACCTATCGGACCGAAATGCGAGTCGGTCGATCGAGGAAAGCGTGGAAGTGTGGAAGCATGGAAAACGGAGGGAAGGACGTGTTCCATGGCACCATAACACATTTCCGCCCTCTGTTTACGATTCTCTGTGTATCTATATACAATTTCTTTGCGCATGCGTTCCGCTTCTACCTTTGTCCCTTATCCGTTGGTCTCTTATCGTAATTTAGAACGAATGGTGATGTAGCTTGGAAAATAGGGGATACGCTTGCAAAATGTAGATAAAGGGAAATGACACTCGAAGGCAAACAGGAATTACAGCGTCGATCTGTTACAGAATATAAAAATACATATATTTATGCCCCTACTTTAGGACCCGCCTCGTTCTCGTCGGGATGTCAAAGAACGGCAGATACAGTGAAAATTAGGGAGAATCTAATATGAAATATGTTCCAATCTCAAAGAAGTATCGATCTATAAAAAGCTGACAAAACGAAGAACAATTTTCCAAGTATCGTTACAAATTATAAATTACAGTTTCAATAAAAATATACTTTCGATCATGAAAATTAATTACTATGTGCCCTTTATTATTTTTATGTGTTGTTATTTTTATGTTATACGACGGTATAACAATTTCACGTTCAATTAAATATTACACAATACGTAATAGACAGCAAAATGTATATCACGAATCCACAGTATTTTCATCTTGGGTAGATACAAAGGAAGACCTTGAGAATTTTCTGTCATGCGTTTCACCCTCGACGGAACACCGAGATTTCAGATATACGCAACCATAGTCCTTTTTTTCTCTCTGCTTGTACGTGTGCATATCCATTCACAATCACAAAAGCTCGTATCTACGAAGGCGTAAACCATCAGCTATATTTTTCTTTTCTCTCGTTTTAAACCTCATCGCCAGACGGTGAGCCGCCAAAAATTTTTACCATCCGATGAACGTAGACAAAGGAGAACTCGTCTGATCGTTAACTCGATCGCTAATCCACTCACCCGCACGACGTCGTCTGCTGCGTTTCCCTCTTTTCTCTCCCCTTGCGCAACCCTTTGCTCTTTCCACGCACAAAGCGATCTAATCGATGACTGCTTATTTTTACACAGTTTGGTGGTTGATCATGGACTTTAATCGCCTTGAAAGAGTAGCGAGCCGACGCCAATAGAAAAACGAATAGAAACGAATAGAAACGAAGCGTATAATTATCGATCGCTTTGATATCGAATGACAGTTATTAACACGTTGCTTTTGATTTATTTATAATCGTTAAACCGTTTTTTTAACGAAGAAGCTCGTTGCTGTATACAAGACATTAAGAAGAAAACAATGCGGGATTATTTTATGTTATCAAAACTTGAAAATCTTACTCGCAATGAATTGGTGAATCATTGTTTGAAACGAAGAGACCACAACCTTCCAGTGTGGTGTTCCTTACGATCGTATAGACTATAGATGGATTATACAGATTGTCGCGCAATGGATACTGAAATCCTTGGAAAGTGATATCAATTGTCCAGAAATCTAGCGATGCCTACTCCGATTGTGTCAACAAAGAATATATCACGTCTATTGAATTTTTCCTTCTGAAACGCGATACGACGTGACGCTCGTATTTGCATAACTCTGACGAGAGTACTTGATTTGCAAAATCCACGAGGAAATCAGTACAAATTGTTGTATTAAAGCACAAAATATTTCAAATCTATTAAATATTTATTGAAGAAAAATATCTAGTGGTAAAGCTATAATTCAACGTTTCAACTTTAAGCTAAGCAAGCATCACAATTGTTGAATATCGATACCGCCTCTGGAACATCGTCGACAGGAAATACGCGCGACCTTTCGAACCAGTCAACGAGAAAAATTCGCGTCTGCGATAGAAACATAAATAGCGAGTGTTTTGTGCGTCTCATTACCAAGCCCATTGACAAGTGGGCGATAAACAGAGAGTACAGTGAAGAATCTAACAGCAGCTGCGGCTGCACGAGTCGAAGGTGAATGACCTCTAAAGAGAACTACAAACTAAAAAAATCAATGTATATCCAGCCACGGATGTACTTATCGACAGTCGTAGCAAAAATCAAAAACGATAGATACATTGGAAGAATTCTATGCTTTAACTTTTACGATTCGAACGGCGTTCGAATAAATTTCCACCTAGCTTACAATTTAAATACAATTTTCTGCTTCGTTCGTATCGTAGATATCGCAGAAACTATTTCGATAACGTTGAAAGAAATTTAATCGAATTGTCACGTGCATCGAATACAACCGTTTATTGGATTTTCAAATAAGATGTCACATTTTGTTAACGGTTTCACAAATATTTGCGAAATTCGATTGAAATGAAACACCCTGTACGGCTGTCGCTTTCCTCGGTAAGTGTATCTAAATGGCGTAACGGCCGTGTAGACACGCTCCGCATTTTACCGTGCGCATCTTCTGTGCGTTCAGCATCGAGCAAAAACCAGGGAAGAAATGCAGAAAGTGCCATGCATTACGTAAATACTCGGGCACAATAAGATACGCAAGGTGTTATTCTCTCTCGGACACGGTTGTGTTTAGTCTGTTTCACGCAAGTTCGCACGAATCCGCTTTCAGCGATCGTTGCGATGCCCGACGCGTTTTCTGCACGCACAAACCATTACCTCGTTCCTGGCAACGATGCCATTTACGACCAGGGGGCAATTAATGCCGAGAAATCGTCCCGACCGGAGTCACTTCTTTCCCTTCTTCTCCTGTTCCTTTCTTCTTCTTCTTCTTCTCCTTCTCCTTTTTCTTCTTCTCCTCCTTCTTCTTCTTCTTCTTCTTCTTTTCCTCTTTCTTTTTCTTCTTCTTCTCCTCTTTCTTCTTCTTCTCCTTCGTCTTCTTCTTCTTCTTCTTCGTCTTGTGAATGAGGGATATCAAACACGCAAAATTCATTAGTAACCGCGGCTTAGAAAAAGAAAGTCAAACTTAAAGAGAAACCGTATTTTGAAATGTTGCCGGTTTTTAAGTGACTTTTTGAATTTGTAATTCGAAAAGAATCGTCAATTCGTATAGTGTTCCGACAAGCTAATTAGTCGAATGAAATTCACAACTTAATTTTACAAAAAAAAAAAAAAAAAAAGAGAATCCATTGTTTGTATTTGTTTAAGAATTTAGCCCGTTATTTGAATGGAGAACGTCAATTTTCATCGTTGCTCAGATGACTGATTGGATTAGAATGATATGCTAGTCTAACAACAGCTTCTACGTGCCATGATTAATAACAGCATACCGTGCTTTTTTGTTTCTTCCGTGCAGCTAATGCAATATTCAATGCAGTCTGCAGGATTATTCTACGTATTAATTATCGGTGTGTAGATATAGGCTGAGGCGTTTACTCAACGGTACCCGAAGTGTAAACCTTGATAACATCTCGCATAAAAATCTTGTAATTGACGAGACTTTCGTCAGTTTGATATATATACTAACAATTGGGCTTAATAATCGCGTAGCATCTACATTTTTTTTATCTGATAAATATTTTATTCTATTACACCATAACGTGACACATGTATGTATATGTATATCTTTAGAAATCATCGACAATTTTCAAACGTAATTTACATTATACACGTTTTCCCACGTACAATTAATAGCTGCACGGCATCTTCAACTTACTTATCCATTTTTTAAAAATAGAAGCGTTTCGTTCGCTGATACCATGGTTTCCAGTTACTCGACTGCCACTGTATCACGAAACAAACCCATTCCGACACGCAACAGCGATTCTAAATTTAATATGTTTTTCCCCCATGGAGAGCATCAAAGAGCGGAGATACCGCGTAGTACGTACATATTTTGAATCTATGCTGTTTACTCGTGCAAGGTGCCATCGGTATTGTCCAAGCGGGCATCGTTAACGAAGGAAAAGATATGCAACGTCCGGCCATTATTCTCAACGAGACTGGCGGGTCTTTGTTAGTGAAATTTACGAACGACCGAGAATTCCGTTCAAGGTAGACTACCTTGGTCGGCTTCGATATCCAAACGGGTCGTCAGAATTATTCGCAACCTGTGTTTCTCCTTTTTACCTGATGCGAGCGGCACAATGGACGTTACAAGTGAAAACTCGATATTTCAGCACGATTGTTCCTCAAATACGAACGCACATGCCTGATTACTCGATCGCTCGATCGCTCGAATTTTCCGATCCTTCGAAAATTTGTACAGGTTTCACCTAATAAAGATCATTAATCAAGAAATTATATAGGAAAGCTAAGAAAATGTAACATGTTTCACGGAAAGAAATACAATTTCACCAGAATCGAGTACGATGCTCAGCGATGCTCCGACAACAGGGATTGTGGTGCACTTTCACGTTCCGTATGACCTACCGTCAATTCAATACCCGACCGCAAACTTATTAGCGTCTGCCACGGGAACCCGTTCCTATGAACCGAACGGAGCTTCGTGCGGAGGTTTGCCGTCTTCAAAAGGAAAACTTCCTTCCATTGTTGGCGACGTTTCTTCCGGACGATGGAACTTGACGCAGGATTCAATATTTGCAAAATCGCACGGCATAGATTTTATTGCTCGATAATTATGCTTTCTTCAATGTATCAAAGAGTTTCTGTATTTAGAGGCGAATAACATATATTTTATTGCTCGGTTGATATCGAACTTAAAGCTTAATCGCAAAGACGCAAGTTTGCTTGATCTATACACGAAGAGTAGTTGTCCCGATCATCTTTCTTCGACGATTCCTAGAAACTTCCCAATTTTTCCGAATTTCACCGAATTTTATCACAGGCCTACATTCTAACTATTCCAAAAGAACTGTGGTCAGACGCCGTAAGCAGGAGGAGCAGATTTCACGATAATAAACAGCGCACGAATAATCAGCGTTTTGTACATTCGCGCCCAAGCCAAATCGAATTGC